AACGGTGGCAAGTCTCACCCGGGGTGGGAGGTCGATCGTATTTTTATTCTCACCCCGGGTGAGGATAGCCACTTCCTTATTAAAAAATCATACAAATTAAAGTATTAGTTAGACTTAAACAACTTCAGTTCTTTGTATTAGATTAAGATTGAATATAATTACTTTACTGAGTCAAAAAATAATTACAATAGGGTAATTCTGAGAGTTGTGGTGGTGTATTGAAATACCCCCAAAAACGCCAGTCTTCAACGCTTGTGACTGGTGAAAGGGCCCAGTAGTAAGTGAGTTAACCCAACACACAACCCTGTCCCTGATTCAAAACAAAAACCTGACCTGTAACTTAGTGTAACATAACCTCAAATAGAATCTAGATCTAGATTCTAGATCTAGATCTATATCTAGTCAGATAATATTTTTCAACATGAGCATCTAGATTAGATCTAAATCTGGATCTAGAATCTAGATCTAGATCTAGGTCTACACAACATCAAGTTGTCTTAGACTTGTCACTACAACCAAATAAGTCCAATATATTACTTACGCCGTCCGATTTCAAAATTTCTTTGACCTTTTTAGACTCTGTGGGGGTAAAACAAAGAAAAACTAATATTGCCACAGAGCAAGTGAACATCTGTACAGAAAAAAACATCATTTTTTAAATGGCATGTCAATCTCATTCAAACGGCTTCCTTCTTGCACAGTGCGTCCTGTGAGAAGTTATTATTGTGCATTCCACTGCGCCGCCATTTTGGCGTGGTCATGTGACTGTTTCCAGGGGAACCACCTAAATAAAGGCATGTTTGGCCAACTCTCCTTCAAAGTGGCCAGCCTGTAAAAAGTTTTCTAAGCTTTAGGTAAATTATTTTATAAAAATATTATTTTTAAAAACAACTAATTTGTCTTTATTCTAAAACAAATTAATTTGAAACGGGGAGCAGCGCAAAACGAATCCCCGCCCCCTCCGAACCAAGAACCGCAACTACACGTGTAGGCTATAATTTGACTTAGATCTAGCTGCTTCCATCATACATGACGCATGATACAACACTCAAAAACCTTATTGAATTGTTGGTTCCATTTAAACTGCGATGGGGAAAACGGGTAATGGTAACATATAGCCCCCCCCCCCCCCATGTCTTCGTGCAAACGCAATAACTAGATCTAAAGTCATGTAGATATGTAGTACAAATGTATTATTGTGGGACAAAAAATAAGTCTGGGCGAATATCAAGATTTGATTTAGTTGT